ATCAATAGCTTATTCACTAGGGTAAGTATCATGATGTAGATTCACAACTTATTGTCATTACTACCACTAAATATATTTTATTTAGATGAAAAATAAATATCATGGTGACTTATGCAAACAATTACATATCATAGATCCAAGGTAAAATTTAATATACTATTCAACAATAATGCCACACAATGTAGTCCTACATTAAAACATGCATCACATCCACTTACATTTATATGCTTGTTAGTCTGTTTTAGCCAAAACAATAAAACTGTTAAGTCTTTAATGTGCCACTGAACTTGTTTTTACATTAATGTTTGTTTTAGAAGTAGAGATGTAAGCAACAACTTGAGTAGTCGACTACCCGATAAGCTTAGGTTTATTGAGTAGTGGAGTCACTACTTGACTACTTGCTACTCTCCACCCTCTCCTCACCTTGCTGCCTGTGTCAGAAGCTAACACAGGGATGTGAGGGAGAAGTCGACTACCCGATAAGCCTGTCAGGAAGGGAGAGGGAAGCAAGAGCTGGTTCCCCCCAGCACTGTCTCCATGGTGTGGGGGGCAGAGTTGCAGAGGTCCTGGAGCCAGCATGAGCCTAGACTTAGTCCCAGCTCGCACCACTCCTGGGAACTAACCCCACCACAGCGCTGCATTTTAAATGTACATTTAAACTACAGAGCCACAGTGGGAGTTGCGAGCACCCCACCCCTTATCGACTACAGAAGTAGTCAATGGAAATTCCATCAATTACTCGATTAACTAATTAACTGTTACTTAACATTGCTAATTAGAAGTGATTCTTCAAAATGAAGCAGTTTTAAATTTTGACATCCCCATTAAATTAGTGATCAGTATAAAAGTCAATTATATTCTGCTCTATATACTGGAACCAAACAATTCTGCTAAAGTTTTTTGGCCTAAAGCTGACATTAACATTTCAAAACAACCACCAGTCCTGTGGCATCTTAGAGTATGGTTGCTAGATATCAATTAATTGAATAATCATGAACCCGCATCAAAATTTAGTGATTACACAATTATTTGATAGTCCCTGGGGAAGGAGCCTGCAGCCAGTGTGCTCCTGGCCCCACTCCCAGGAAGTCCCTGCCACCTTGCACTGTGGCAAGGTGGGAGGGGGCAGCCTCTGTCCACACGGAGTACTGGCTCCCCACTCCCCCCATTGCTGTCTGATATAGAGGCAGCATGGGGTGTGTGGGGAGAATGCATGTAGTCGATAGGATTAATTGATGATCAGATATGCCGGACTATCAGAAGGGGGGGCTATGAGGAGTCTGGAGTGGGGTGGGAGGGGATGCCACCCTAGACCCCTCATAGCCCCCCCTTACGATAGTCCGGCTCTGCCCCAGGCATCCCTGATTCAGCCGCTGCTGGTCAGTTTCAGCAGCAGC